GGAAGAAGAAAAGTTGTCTTGGGCCACACATTAAATACACTGCAACATGTAATCACAAAAAATCTCATAATGTTTCAAGTGAATTTACAATTTTGTGTTGGGCTGCATTCACGGCCATCCTGGGCTGCATGTGGCCTGCAGGCCGCAGGTTGGACACCCCTGAAGACAAAAGATACATGACAACTAAATGCAATACACGAACCTTAACTGGATCCTGCATCAGTACAAGAAAAAAAGCCACAAAGTTCGTTATTTTGTCAATCGGAGGAAACGTGAATAAGAATAATGGTAGACCTAAGTATGACGTATGTGAAATACTTAGGATGAAAGTGGCTCTTCGGCAAAAAAGTAGGTGTGTAAGAAAGAGTGCACGAGTGTCTGGTTTCTCACTACTAGAGAAAGAGGTCACAAATATGGAAAGGTAGAGGAGGCTAGAATCGACCCAGTGTAGCTGGACTGGAACTGGAGGTATTACTACCAACTCATGGCTTTTAACACAGTTGACCCTTGAACAACTGGGGGTTAGGGGAACTGACACCTCCACGCAGTCAAAAATCTGTGTATCACTGGCTGGTGTAGCTCGGTTGGCTGGAGTGTCATCCCATAAACCAAAGGTTCATTTCCCGATCAAAGCACGTGCCTAGGCCAAGTTTGATCCCTGGTCAAGAATCAACCAGAAGATTGCGTAAATAAGTGAAACAACAAATCAATGTTTCTCTATTAGTCTCTAAAAATCAATAAATAAAAAAGGAAAAAGACGGATGGGTGTAGAAATACACATAGAAGTATGTGTGTGCATGTATGTATCTACATATTTCCTGGCAGTCTGCTGAAAGGCCCTAGAGTAATGACACCCCATTAACATGGAATATCCAATGTCCAGGCATTAATTTCTAAGTATCATTCTCCTCTAAAAACAACTGTGGCCCCCTAAAAAAAAAAAAGACTGACTCCAGAGCTAGTTAGCCAGGGAAAATACAAAAGGAGCCTGAAATATCTTGCGATGCTGGAAAGTGTTTTTTTTTTTTTAAGTGCTCAAACAATGACAGTGTCATGTCTAAAAAACACAGAAGCCAGATGTGTCCCACCAGCCAAATCTGAGACAATCTAACCATCAACATAAATGACAAAGCTGAGAAGGAAAAGATCCACCTTCCAGTAGAATGCCAATAAATAAATAAAAGAGGTGACTGTACAACTACATGAATGTAGTTAACACCACTGAATTATACACTTAAAAATGGTTAAAATGTGGTGGTGGAAAAAGACTTGACGAGGGTAAACACACAATACAATGCACGGTTCATATGTTACAGAACTGTATACCTGAAACCTATGTAATTGTATTAACCAATGTCACCCCAGTGAACACAATAAAAAAGTTAAAATGATAAATATTATGTATATTTTACCACAAAAAAGTTTAAACATAAAAGGCATAAATACTGAAAGAATGACAGAATTAGAAAGCCACTGTGACACCCCACATAGTAATAATTAATTTTGAAAAGACCTCAAAAGGATGTTAAAACTATTAAGTCAAAATTTGATGAGGATGTCAAATTATACTACAAGGCCACAGCAATCAAAACAGATGGTACTGGCAAAAACAGACACACAGATCAATGTAACAAAATAGAGAAAATAAACTCACATCTTTATAGTCAATTAATATTCAACAGAGTAAGCAAGCATATACAATGGGCTAAAGATGACAGTCTGTTCAATAAATGGTGTTGGGAAAATTGGACATATATATGCAGAAAAATGAAACTAGACCACCTTCTTACACCACACACAAGAATAAATTAATGGATTAAAGAGTTAAATATTAGAACTGAAACCATAAAAACCCTAGAAGAAAACATAGGAGTAAAATCTTGGCCACTGCTTATAGCACTATTTTACCTGATATATCTCCCCAGGTAAGGGAAACAAAAGAAAAAATAAACATATGGGACTACATCAAACTAAAAAGTTTTTGCACAGGAAAGGAGACTATCAATAAAATAAAAAGATAACCCATGGAACAGGAGAAAACATTTGCCAACACATCTGGTGAGGGGTTAATATCCAAAATTTATGAAGTATTGACAAAACTCAACACCAAAAAAACACAAACAATCCAATTAAAAAATGGGCAGCCCTGGCTGGTATGGCTCAGTGGCTTGAACAGTGGTCTATGAACTAAAGGGTTGCCAGTTTGATTCCCAGTAGGGCACATGCCTGGGTTGTGGGCTAGGTCCCCAGTTTGGGGGCACGTTGAGAGGCAACCAACTGATGTTTTTCTCCCTCTCTTTCTCCCTCCTTTCCCTTCTCTATAAAAAAAAAAAAAAAGAATAAAATATCTTTAAAAAATTGGCCAAAGGACCTGAATAGACACATCTGCAAAGAGGACATACAGATGGCCAACAGACATATGAAAAGACACTCAACATCACTAACCATCAGAGAAATGCAAAATAAAACCACAACAAGCTATCACTTCACACCTGTGAGCATGGCCATCATCAATATATCAACAAACAAGTGCTGGCGAGGATGCAGAGGAAAGGGAACTGTTTTTGCACTGTTGCCAGGAACACAGATTGGTGCAGCCACTGTGGAAAGTAGTATGGAGATGCCTCGAAAAATTTAAAATGGACCTGCCTTTTGACCCAGATATCGCACTTCTGGAAATGTATCTAGGAAACCCAAAACACTAATTCTGAAGAACATCAGCACCCCTATGTTCATTGAGTTATTTACAATCACCCAGATATGGAAGCAGCTCAAGTGTCCATTGATAAATAAGTGGATAAAACTATGGGACATGTACACAATGGAATACTACTTGTTTATAAAAAGAAAGAAAATTTTACCCTTTGTGACAGCATGGATGGACCTGGAGAACATGCTAAGTGAAATAAGCAGTCAGAGAAAGACAAATATATAATTTCACTCATATGTAGAACCTAATGAACAAACTTAACAAGCAAAATAGAGACAGACTCATGGAGAGCAGGACGACAGCTAGTGGGCAGGGGGAGGTTAGGAATGGAGGGATCGAGCAAAAAGGAAAAAGGATGCACAGACATGGACCAGAGTGTGGTGATTGCAAGGGGGGAGTTGAAAGGTAATGAAAAAATACAATAATTTAAAAAAATTTTGATGAAGAAGATACTGGTGTAGTCTCAAAGTAGCTCTCCCAAATACTTATTACTTACAAATTAATTTGTACAAAATTCTTACTTAACTAAAACCTATGGGCACAGAAGAGTTACAAGTATAGGGATAAACATAGATATACCCAGCAAATGCTAACAAAATGGAAATAGTACAGCTGTGTTAATGACAGACAAAATACTCTTGAAGGCAAAAATAAAAGTAGTAACTGACCAGAATATTAACAATTTTGAATTTACATGTATTTAACAGAATCTCATAGATTTTAGCAAATTTTGACAAAATTATAAAAAGACGTTTAATGGGAGACAATTAGAGGGAGTTTTTTTAAACATACTTCTTTAGTAACTAATAGATAAAGCAGACAAAAATAAATAAGATAAAGAATTTAAGAACACCATCAAAAAGCTTACTAAATGAACAAACATGGAGTCTGATATTTGAGACTATGCATTCATTTGTTTAAAAGATTTTACTTACTTATTTTAGAGAGGGGGAAGGGAAGGACAAAGTGAGGGAGAAAAACATCACTGTGTGGTTGCCTCTTACATGCCTCCTACTGAGGACCTGGCCTGCAACCCAGGCATGTGCCCTGACTGGGAATCGAACCAGGAACTCTTTGGTTCACAGGCCTGCGCTCAATTCAACTGAGCTGTATCAGTCAGGGCAAGACTATGCATTCTTTTCAATATAGCAAAAACTGTTCATAAAAGGTAATCACACAGCAGACCAAAATGTAAGTCTGAAAAAAACAATACCAAAAAATCAATAGAGTACAGATCGGAATCTGTAGCCACAGCACAATCAGCTTAGGGAATAAAAAAAGACAACCAAGCCCTTCATTTCACGTTTGCAAATTAAAAGTAGCGCAAACCGATAATAACAATATTTCAAAAAAACTCTTATATGTCAAAGAAGAAACAAAAATGGAAGTCAGAAGAATTCTGGCTATGACAAATATATGCAGAAGGCTAATAGGCTGTGCTTTGTATTATGCCCTATAATTTTCAGTATACTTGAAATATTTTAAGATTTAAAAAGAAAAAGCATGTATGGACAAATAACAAGATAATATGATTTGTTTCTCTGACATTTGTGGCACTTCTAGGCAAAATCCTATTAAAAAACCAACGGAGAGATTTAAAGTGACATGAAGAGCCACGGCCCAATAACCAGCTTCCCTGTGGTGGCCGTGCTCTCGCACCTAATGTGCTTTCTGGGAATGTTCCTGAGGGGAGAAGACTGTTACTCTGCTTGATAACCTAATTTGCTTTCAAATAATTGATTTTGTAATAATCAAATCTACCCCAAATACGTTTAAGATTTTCTAACACTGTTTTCCAAGGTAAACAAAAGATAAGTTTAAATGTTTTGAGCAACAGTAGCACTTCCAGCATAAATCCGTGCTCTGTCCTCCCCCTTCCTGGCCACACCACCCTTCCCAAGGATGCCGGAAAGGAGACAACTATCGCTTCAGTGAGCTTTGCTATGCACCACTTTAAAGACATCTGATAGTCTTAAGTTTTAAATGAAAATAGTAACTTATTGTACAGTGCATGAAAAGATTTTCAATCTTCATGTAGATGAAAGGTTTAAGATTTCTCAGTTAGTTCAGCTTTATTTAACTTCTTAAATTTGCTGACCTTAACTCTGCATTAAATATAAAAACAAAATGTATTTCTCTCCTAAGCCACACACGATATATTAGTAAAAGAGACTTAAACATTTAAGTATGGGTAATCAAAGTAATGAAAATAATAGGTTCAGCATAATGTAAAGTGATACCAAATATATATATACATACACATTAGATCTAAAAAAAATCAGGTACATACCCAGCTTTACTCTGTGCTGTTTCTCTTCCTCACTTCTGAGAAAAGTATCCAAAGTTCGCAAGTCTGTCATGTAGTCTTCTTTGTCAGTAGGGGAGTTGTAGACAGTGGGTGAAGAGCGGTAGCGAGACCTCAATCCACTGCTCTCCACCGGTCCCACCGTGGTAGGGTATGGAGAAGAAGGAGACGAACTATAGCTTGCCAACTAGACAAAAAAAAAAAACAACCCAAAAAACACCTTTACTTTATTTAACTGAAACTTATTTTTGTGTTTTTTTTTAAAGATTTTAAAATTTATTTATCTTTAGAGGGGAAGGGAAGGAGAGAAGGAGAGAAATATCAATGTATGGTTGCCTCTCGGGCATGCCCCACTGGGAACTGGCCTGCAACCCAGGCATGTGCCCTGACTGGGAATTGAACCACAATACTCTGGTTCAGCCTGCGTTGTTTTGGTTTTTGACTTCCAAAAAGCAATATACCAAAAATAAAATCCAGAACACAGACAACACCAAATGCTGACGAGGATGTGAAGCAATAGAAACTCTCATTCACTGATGGTAGGAAACCTAGTACAACCACTTTGGAAGACAGTTTGATGGTTTCTTACAAAACTAAACATACTCTTATCACCTAGCAATTGTGCTCCTTGGTATTTACTCACAGAGACTGAAAACATGTCCACACCGCAACCTGCACACAGATGTTTATAACAGCTTTATTCATAGCTGCCAAAACTTGGAAGTAACCTATTGTCTTTCAGTAGGTGGATGGACAAACTGGTATGTCTGGACAATGGGATATTGTTCAGCATTAAAAAAAGGAGCTATGAGGCCATGAAAAAAACATAAAGGAAATTTAAATGCACATTAAGTGAAAGAAGCCAATCTGAAATGGCTACATCTGCAACTATATGATATTCTGAAAAAGGCAGAACTATGGAGAAAGTAAAAAGATCAGTTGTTGTCAGGGACTGGGGTGAGGGGGAGGATGAATACGTGAAGCACGAGGATTTACAGGGCAGTAAAAATACTCTGTATACCATAATGGTGCGCACATCATACATTTATCCAGACCCACAGAATGTCCACCACCGAGAGCGGACCGTAATGAGAACCACGGACTCTGGTGAGAATGATGAGTCAATGCAGTTTCCTCAATTGTAACAGACGGACCTTGCTGGTGCCTGATGTTCACAGTGACGAAGGCCGCGCCTGTGTAGGGGCGGAGGGTAGATGGGAAATCACGGTACCTTCCTCTCAATTTTGCTGGGAACCCAAAACTGTTCTAAATACAAGCCTATTTTTAAAAGAAGTAATATATGCACCCTGGCCAGGTGGCTCAGTTGGTCGGGGCATCATTCCGCGTGCCAAAAGGTTGTGGGTTCAATGGTAAGGGCAACTTATGAGAGGCAACTGACCGATGTTTCTCTCTCACATCAATGTTCCTTTCTCTCCACACCCCCCCCCCCGCTTCCTCTCTCTAAAATCAGTACGGATCCCTGGGTAAGGCTTAGAAAAAGGAATATATGCATTTTTTAAAAAACTGAAAAGTATAAAAAAAATAAGTCACTTAGAACTCTACTACCCAGAGCTAATATTTTTTCACAATTTATGTATTTTCTGATCTTTACACGTACATGGCTATGTCAATTATTTTTTCATGTAATTGACACAATACTGTTTTTTAATTTTATAACCCCATTTTATTTAAAGTTAACCAAGTATTTTCCTATAAAAATCCTTCATAAATATTCTTACTAACTATATAGTATATCATTGTATATACATATATATTACATTTATCATCATTTCTTTTTACCTTCTCTTAATTTAGAAATTTGGATTGTCTATAATTTTTGACTACTGTGTTATGATTAACTTCTTTGTACATAAATCTTTGCTTAATTTAGTGACTTCCTTTAGAAGATTCCTAGAACCGAAATGATTTGATAAAATCATACAAACATTTTTAGACATATTTTCCCCAACAAAAATGTTTTACTTCCAATCAAGATGGAAGCATAGGTAAACATAGCTTGCCTCCTCCCACAACCACATCAAAATTACAACTAAAATATAGAACAACCATCACTCAGAACCATCAGAAATCAAGTTGAATGGAAGTCTGACAACTATAGAATTAGAGAAACCGTATCCATCCAGACTGGTGGGAGACACAGAATGGGCCGGCCCCACATCCACACGTGGCAGATAAATTCAGGGGGGTACCTCAGGAGTGAGGAGTCCCAGCTGCATACCAGGCCCCCAGCCCAGGGTTCTAGTGCCAGGAAGATAAGCCCCCATGACTTCTGGCTGCATAAACCACAGGGGAGTGAGTCAGTGGAAGAAACTACTGGAGTTCCAAGCAATTCCACTTGAAGAACCCACACATAGACTTACACTCATTCCCTCTGAGCTCCAGCACTGGGGTAGCAGCTTGAAAGGCATTAGTGGCACACAGGGAGAAACTGAAGTGTCTGGCATCAAGGCAGAAGCTGCGGGACAGCTTTGTTCCAGACAGAAAGGCAGGCAGAGGCCTGTCTCTTTTCTTAACCCTCCCCACATAGAGCCACAGAGCCACAGAGCCAGCAGGCTGGTACCATACCTGAGACTCCATCAACCTGGTAACACTGTTTTCCTCAGAGCCACAGAGCCAGCAGGTTGGTACCATACCTGAAACTCCATCAATCTGGTTAACACTGTTTTCCTCACCCTGGAGATCCCCAAAGACTCCATTCCACCCAACTTGCAGGCCTATCCAAGTTGCTTTTTTGTAAGAATGGCTGGTCTTGACTCAAGCTTCACAACTTCCCAAATCCTCTCAAATGAACAACAGCCAGTCTCAGTGAGCCCCCAGCACTCCTACATCTCGCTAAGTAGCCCAGGCCCAGCACTAGCAACAGTCAGCCTAGATTCACAGCTTGGCTTCACCTGGGAATCTCCAAGCCCAGCACAAGGAGAAACCATCTCAGACTGCTTGATAGCCCTAGCAGGTGGCCCCAGGAAAAACACAGGTGGGGGGCTGACCTTGGCCTGCATTACCCAAGAAACCCCAGAGTCAGTGCACCCGGTGGACAGCTAGAGTCCATGCTGGAGCACCTCCACCCTGCCCCTGCACAGATGCTTCTCCATGAAGGGCAGAGATTGGTGGTCAGTGGTCACAGTCAGTCCTTGCAGCTGATTAGTCTGGGTAAATTCCTCCCATTGCTGCCAACAGCAACCAAGGCTCAACTACAACAGGAGGGTGTTCTCAGCCCACACAAAGGGTGCACCTCAAAGTACCCAGCTTGGGTGACAGGGGAGGCTGTGCCACTGGACCCTGCAGGACACCTACTATATTAGGCCTTGCTGCCAAGACACAGAGTCACAGCAGCTCTACCTAATACATAGAAACAAACACAGGGAGGCTCCCAAAATGAAGAGACAAAGAAACATGGTCCAAAAGAAGGAAAGATCAAAACTCCAGAAAAAGAACTAAGCAAAATAGAGATAAGCAATCTATCAGACGCAGAGTTCAAAACACTGGTTATAAGGATGCTCAAGGAACTTTGTGAGAACCTCAGCGGCATAAAAAAGATCCATTCAGAAATGAAGGATAAACTAATTGAAAGAAAGAACAATTTACAGGGAAATAACAGTAGAGCGGATGAAGCCCAGAATCGAATCAATGATTTGGAACATAAGGAAGAAAAAACAACCAATCAGAACAACAAGAAGAAAAAAGAATCAAAAAAACCCAGGGATAGTGTAACAAGCCTCTGGGACAATTCAAGCATTCCAATATTTGCATCACTGGCATGCCAGAAGGAGAAGAGATGAGCAATAAATTGGAAATCTATTGGAAAAAATAATGAAAGTAAACTTCCCTAATTTGGTGAAGAAAACAGACACGTAAGTTCAGGAAGCACAGAGAGTCCCAAACAATACAGATGCAAAGAGGCCCACTCCACGACACATCGTAATTAAATGCCAAAGGTTAAAGATAAACAGAGAATCTTGAAAGCAGCAAGAGAAAAGCAGTTAACTACAGGGAATTCCCATAAGACTGTCAGTTGATTTCTCAAAAGAAACCTTGCAGGCTAGAGGGAACTGGCAAGAAATATTTTGAAGTCATGAATAGCAGAGGTCCACAGCCAAGATTGCTTTATCCAGCAAGGCTATCACTGAGAATAGAAGGGAAGATAAAGATCTTCCCAGACAAGAAATAAACTAAAGGAGTTCATTATCACCAAACCATTATTATATGAAATGTCAAAGGGACTTATTTAAGAAAAAGAAGAAGACCCAAACTATGAACAATAAAATAGCAATAAATACATATCTATCAACAATTGAGATGAAAAAACAAACTAAGCAAACAAGAACAGAGCCAGAATCATGGACACGGAGAGCATTTGATGGTTGTCAGATGGGAGGGGGTGCAGGGGATTGAGTGAAGAGGTGAGGGGATTAAGAAACACCGACAGGTAGTTACAGAGTAACCATGGTGATATAAAGTACAGTATAGGAAATGGAGTAGCCAAAGAACCTATACACACGACCCATACACATGAACAATGGTGTGGGGACTGCCTGAGGGAGTACGAGTGCTGGGTGGAGGGGCTAAAGAGAGAAAATCTGGGACAACTATAATAGCACGATCAATAAAATATAATTTAAAAAATGTTGCACTGAGTTATACAATCAGAAGAGAACATACAGGAGTACCTATTTTGGTATGTGTCCATCAGCATTACTTTTTTAAAATGTTTAATTTCCAGAAAATTTAAAAAATGTACTTTTAATTTGCATTTTTATGGTTATGGAGTAAACTTTAAAAATACAATTACTGGTTACCGGTATTACCTACATTTTTAACTGTTTAGTCCAGTATACTGAAAATTTTTCTGCCAGGGTTTCACAATCAACTTATATTCAGTTGTAATAAATGAAAGACTAACAAATCTTGTAATTGTTTAATGCTGACTGAAAATAAAAATGTTAATCCTCTTTTATACTGATTTCTTTTATTTTAATGAACATATTAAATCCTTATACACTATGACTCTATTTGAGCTATTGTTTCATTAATTGGTTTATTCTTGCTCAAGGAGCGTAATATTTTATGTTTAAAATACATGATCTTCTTTCATCCACTTAATAATAGGCAAATAACATTACTATATTAATTTTAGATATGAGAGCTTAGGTAACTTGCTCAAGATCATACCAGGATTTCAATCCAGTTTTCTGAGTCTACAAACACTTCTAACATGTTTTTTGGATCAGAATTATCTGTTCACATATTAATAAAATGTTGGCAACTGTTAAGATGAGTGGTACACAGGAGTTCAAAGTGCTGGTCCCTCCGTTTCCATAAGAAAATTTTAATAATCAAATGTTTAAAAAGTTACTTTTTGAAAATTTAAAGGAACTTGATGATAAAAACTCCAGTGGCCCAATGTATCCTGAGGTTGTATTTGATTAAGTTTTTAAATTTCTTCCTTGATTTATTCAGGTTTCTACTTCGTAGTGAATTTTGGCATTTCCCCCCCCAAAATAATTACTTCATTAACTTTTCCAAGCTCTTAGTTCACTTTAACAATCACTTATACTGCCCCTCTAACCCATAAACGATGTTAAGGAAACAAAGATGAAAAAAACCCCCTACGTAACCTTGTGCTCAAGGGGGTTATAATCTAGTCAAAAAAGATAATTAAGCAATGTTACGAATTTAGGTACAGACATATTTAGTACAGATTAGTAAGTTTTTAATTTTATTATTTAGATTTTATTTATTATCTTTAGAAGGAAAGGGAAGGAGAGAGGGAGAGAAATATCAATGCGTGGTTGCTTCTCGTGCGTCCCCTGCTGGGAACTGGCCCCTGCTGGGAACTGGCCTGCAACCCAGGCATGTGCCCTGACTGGGAATTGAACCACAATTCTTTGGTTCGCAGGCCCATGCTCAATCCACTGAGCTACACCAGCTGGGGTTCAGATTAGTAAGTTTTTAATAAATGAAAATAAATATTCAGGAGTAAACTATGGTATACCCACTGGATAAATATTAAATAGCCACTGAACAAATGTTTCAGTGATAAGACTTGAGTAATATTTCTTCAATTTTGTAACTTTTTTAATAATGATCATATAGTATTTTTCTAATAAAAACAGTTTTTAAAGTCATGTTTACCTATGGGTTATGAATTATTACTATATGTATATTTCCTCATATTTAACCTGTATAAAATTTTGTAAATTCTATTACTTGCCCAATTATTGGGTAACCAGTAGTATAGAATTTCATTACAAAGAAATGTTATATAAAAAGGTAAAGGAAGACTGCATTTTATTTCCAAACATTCCTCATTTCACTAGCAGCTATAATGATGATGTTAGTCTAACTAATGAGTGCATCAGACAATGTGACCACTCCCCTTTAAGTGCCCCTCTTATGTTCTTATGCTTCAGGCAGAAGTGACAATTTTAAATGTCGATTTTGCTTCTATCAAGCCTACAAATGAAAACAAAAGCCCATTGTGCAGTGGGAGTTGGGGTAAAGATTTCCAATCATCCAGTGGAGTTTGTCTACACTCTAGAGTGAAACTACATGGCAATCTAGTTTTTAACTTAAAAGACATTCTAACGTGATGGAAAGCATTAAAATACATAAGTTGCACATAAAGAATCAAAGAGGGAAACATGAGCATAGGAAACTAAAATAAAAATTCATCCTAGTTTCCATTTGTTTCAAAACCTCTGTGGAAAGATCATAGAGGATGAACCTCGGTTCATTACCTTTGCAAAAGCTACAGCCTTCTTTCATTTTAAGATGTGGTATAAAGAGCTTCTAATGGGTGTAAAGAGATCTGGGTTTATTATTGGCTCTTAAATGGGCAATTTGGAGAGTCCATTATCCGCTGTTCTTCTGTTTTCTCATCAATAAAATGAGGAGTTTTGACTCACTAGATTGTCAAGGTGCCCTTTGAATTCTAAAATAATGTGATTGGCAAAAACGAAAGAGTCATTACCTTATTATAACCACTGATGGGCGAGTAGGTCACTCCTGGGCTGTAAGAACCACTGCCACCTGATGACAGACCTTGTAGTGGAGGGCTGTATCCAGTTATACAGCTGGTGGTGAACTTGGGGCTGGTACTGGGTGAACGAGATGGGCTATAACTTAACACACTCTGACCCTGAATTGAAGAAGGTGGAGAGGGAGGGATCTGGGTTGCTGCCAGGTCATGTGGAGGAGTAGTCTGTACAACTGGAAGAAGTAAATATGTGGCAAATAAATAAAATTTCTATCAAAACAGATTTAATGAATGGAATCTTTTTCCTGATTGTTAAATTACATAAAGTATTATTACCAAAAGGCACAAATTAGTTTTTTACCATTTCCAGAGTTCAAGATAAGAAATTAGCTTCAATGCAGCAAGCATTAGTAATTTAATTTTAATTTTAATTAAACAAGGGAACAAACTTTCATGAGGCTATTTATTGCTAGTTCCATTTAATTTATAGAAATAGGAATAATGGTCATTGATCTTAACACAATTTATTGTAGACCTGCTTAATATAGCTGAACCAGATGGCCTAAGTTCCTTCTAGCCGAGTCTAGGAAAAGGGAAAATTAAATTGTGAAAGAGTTATGGCCACCCTTTCCCCCATCTTTGCAAAAGACGTCAAACACTTACCAGCCGTTTTCAACCCTGAAAGTGTTGGCTGTCCAGGGCTAACTACCAGACTTGTTGGTGCCACGGTGTATTTGAAATACCTCCAAAAATCAAATAAGGCATTTAGACTGAAGAGAGATGCAAGGGCAAGCTCTGTAAGAGAATAACAATTAATTTTTTTAAAAGAGGGGGGTGTAACATTTAAAGGGAGAAACAAAACTCCACTGTTAGCAAATTAACAACAAAATTGAAAGCTTATTCCTTGTAGCAGTTACCACTTAATGAATGTCTATTATGTGTAGGGTACTTACTAGTGAGTTTCAAAATATTATCATTAATCCTTATAACTTGTACAATAAACATTTCACCTCCATTTTAAAGATCAACCAACAGCTGTACAGAAGTCAAGTGACTTTTGCAAGGGCACAGAGCTAGATATCAAAGCCATGAGACTAGCTGAGGTGTGCAGATTCCAAAACTTGTGCTTTTCCATTCCCACTCCACCTCTACAACAAACTTTAGATGAAGGCGTGTGTGAGACAATGGAATTTCCTTCACCAGTCATAAGGATTTATACCCGAGGACTACTGAAGAGCAGAGAGAAGCAGGAACACATCAATACTGTAGGAATCTGGTTTTTCTCAAAAGGTAACAAATTAGAGAAGTAGGGAAGGCATTTCAGGGAGAGTAACAAATACAAATCTCTTTCCCAAACTTGTTCTTCAAGGAACTCATTATTACCTAGATTTGTTTAATGTGATTGTCTCCTGTACTAGAATGTTCCATCCATGAGGGCAGGGACTTTGTTCCCTTCCTGGTACATTCCCAGCTTTTGGAGCAGAGTAGGCACTCAAATACTTGATGAATGAAGGCATGGATACTAAGTTGAATTAAACTTGAATGCAGTTTTTCATTCACAGTAACTCTGAATCACAGTGAAAATTAATTACTTACCAATATACCAGAGGGGCCAGTATGTCACATTATAATATGAACTAATCAATTTTCCAGTCCTGAAAAAATTAGAAAGGCTTTTCAATCTCTTTAAAACACACACATACACCAAAAATAAAAAAAAACCCGTGGAACCAACCACTGGCCTTTTTTTGGGAGGGGGGTAATAGCTTACATTTCAGTATATATCATCCCAGCCATAGATACATTTAGGAGTCCCCAGGCTAAAACTACTTTCCTAGCTTCCGTTTCTTTCCTCATCTTGATGGTTCTGTCAATAAGGGAAGCACTAGGGCTTGGCTCCCCTTGCATCTATTCAAGAACAAAAAGCACAAGAATTAATCAAAAGAAACTACTCCATTTAAGAAATCACACTTGTATCCTTTTATAACAGTTAACTAAAAAAATAACACTTTTCCTCATTTTTAAAATGTTTTTCCCAAAATTGTTTACATGTTAGTTATAACATGTTATAACTAACATAACTAACTTGTCATGTTAGTTATGAAAAAGGAACCCTAAATTATAATTTCATTGGCCCCATATTGCAATCAACAAAAGTAGCTGGTCACTTCCGAAAATGTATTTCCAATAAATAAAAATGTCTTATTTTGTTACTTATGTATTGATAGTTACCCACGTCTGCAATTACTCTGTACTGTGTTTTTTGGAATATGTCACAAGGCTAGCTAAAGGGCTGATTTAATAAACTCAAAATACCAAGCTTTGGGAGAAACTATTCCATTCAAACCGTAAGCCACCAAAGACTCTCTCTCCCACGGCCTTATGCAGAAACCATTAACTGCCTATGATGTTAAACAACTCTGCACGCAGACCGACAAACGACAGGGATATCCGTTTTAAGTTTTAGATGGGTGAGTAGCCCTGATGGGACAGGGATGAGGGCGAACGGGGAGAAGTGTGCATTCAGTTTTAGTCTACATTGGGATTTACATTTCCTTTGTCTTGCTAGGCCTCATCTCCTGCAGACAAGTGTGAGATGTATTTAAGTTACATGAACTTCTGTCGCATGGAGTACACAGCAATACCATTCCCGCCACGCAGCCGGAGTCAAAACTTTGCAGTCCGAGTTTCCCTCCCTGGCTTTCGCAGTACAAACTTCAACCCCTTCTTTCCTCTGTTCTTTCACGAGTGACGGGACACCTGGCCACACCCCCTGTGGCTGAGCCCTCGGCAGTTCCGCAGGCGCGGAATTCCCAAGGCCCCCGTGGATTCCACATGCAGGAAGCACAAAAATGACCCCGAAAACGCACCGTGATCTTCGGCCGGAAACCGCTGGCTCGCGCCACTCACTACTGCACATGCGCGAAGCAAAGGGCTACAGCTGAGTCTGGCTGGCCGGACTACAACACCGGAAAAAAGGGCCCAGCTATCTCTTCTCGCGAGAAGAGGAGGGTTGTGGGGGCGGGGAAGGACGGAGACTGAGAGCGTTACCAGGGAAACATCTTTGGATTTGTGGCTGGCGCTCAGGTGCTGGGAGAAAACTGAGCGTAAAGATTCAGGCCCGGTTCTGAACCCTCAGAATAAAATGATAATTATAACAAGCTAAATTAAGTTTTTATTAACCTAATGTATTAGGGCGTTTTGGGCTTACATGTTTAAACATTGTATTAAGCAGAATGGGTAATATGTAGGCTATTACATGGTAATAGGCTCCATGTAGAGTACGTGGTAATGTGTTCAAACCATGAGCAATGACAAAGCATTTCTCACACTTCTGTGTTAAAAAAAAATCGTGTTCTGACCCCATGTTAATTCTTAAAATTCTATTTAACGAGGGTGCAGCAGTAACAAGAAAAAAACCAAAACTTGTTTTGTTCACGTTGCTAATGGTTTTGAGGTTTAAAAAAATTCTTTGTAATTGTCTGCATTTTCCTTGAAAGAACTTCTAACCCCGAGGAAAGGTTGGTCATAGAGTTCAGTTGGGTTTTATTTATCAGATACATATGCCTACTGTGTGCCACTGAACTACACGGAGATGTAAAAGGTAAATGTCGGGTTTCTGCCTGAAGGAGCTCGGTGGAGGAGGGCGGCAGGTGCATTAGGGGGCTGGCAGGTGAGGTGCGGTGAGCTCCAGGAGGCACCGCGGGCTCAGCTTGGACTTCCTGGGAGCTTCCTGGAGGAGGCGAAGCAGGTCTCAGGCAGACAGGGATCAGAATGGACCGGGCTTGGGGACTTGCCCTTGAGGAGGCAGGGAGGCATGACCCTATTGACATTATGGCGTGTCACAATTAGCTAGTGGATTGTTACACCATGTAAGTCCCCACGACCAAAAATTTTCCTGAAATGTTCCTAAGGTCAAGTAGAAGAAAATGAAGCTTCCTTGTGGTATTATATGTTGGTGAAAAAAATGAAGGTATGCTGTGTTCTTAAAGATCGAACATATTTTTTTTAGAGTGGGATTTTTATAATTTTTAGATTGTCTTAGCAGCAATGGTGTTTTGCTCTAGTTTTAGATTCAGGGATGACCTAAATTGAAAATTGTTCAAAGTGAAAGGGTTCTGTGTCAATCACATTGGGAATACCAGGTTTCTCCCGACCCCATGAATGCACCAAGTTCTTAAGAAAGAAGAAATTTCCGAAGAAGAAACTGTATACGTCTGATGTAATGCACAAAAGTTAGATGGATAATTTCCCTTTTAATGTAATCTGTGAATGACTGTGAATTTATTCAAGGCTTAAAAAGGAACACTATTACTACTCCAATTAGATTTATGTATGAGTTTGCTAGGGTTGCCTTAACAAAATGCTACAGACTAGGTGGCTTAAACAACAGCATTTTTTTTTTTTCAGTTTGGGATTTGAGACTAGTCTGAGATCAAGATTCCAGCAGAACTGGTTTTTCCTAAGACTTGTCTCCTTTGTCTTGGACAATGGATACCTCTTCTCTTTGTGTCCCCCCTTTTTTTAATGTGTTTGCACATGATCTTCTTATAAGGTCACCAGTCATATTGGATTAGGGCCCCATCCTTATAACCTCATTTAACCTTAATTACCTCTTCAAAGGCCCTATCTCTAATTATGGTCAAACTGAAGGTTAGGGCTTTAACATATGAATTCTGGGAAACAGTTCAGTCTGTAACACATTAGAATTCTATATGTTAATTTACAACAATATGAGATGGGAGAAAATGGGTATTGCATAGACTTAGATTTTAAAATATTGACTTCCCCAAAACTTAACTACCCTTGGTATTTGTGGGGGTTTGGTTCCAAAACCCCCATGGATTCTAAAATCCGAGGATGCTCAAATCCCATTTATAAAATGGCCTAGATCCATGCATACAGTCTGCTTTCTGCATCCTTGGACTTCCAAATGCAGATCAACAACGCTACAGGTATTTACTGGAAAAAAAACCCCTACTATGTGGACCCATGCAGTTCAAAGCAATGTTGTTTAAGGGTGTACTACGATATATACAAATTTCAGAGGGAGAAAAGATTGAGGCAAAATATTATAAGACACTATATTAAGCTCTGAGAGAAAGGCTTTAAAGTTTCATAAAAGTAACTTAGATACATTATCCAATAATTTAGAAATCCAAGAAGTGTTTGTCAGTTCTCATCACAGTTGCTGAAGTGTATGTCATAATAGGTTGCCAAGGAAGCTGTCATACATGCAGAGAGAAGTACTTCCCAGTTGCCGCCATCACCCTGAGCATGTTTTCTTCTTAAGCAAGAAGCCATTATGGGAAAGCTTCTTTCCTTGTTTTGGGAGGTGGATCCACCCCCCATGCCTTTAAGTTTTACCATTCCAAACCAGGACTACGAGTGCCAGCAGGATGACTCTTGTGGGACAGTAGGGATCTTCCTTGTTTGGTATTTTGTCATTATATTGATCTTGATGTTCTTCTCTCGGGCTTCTATCTGGGTAGGATATCCTTTTTTTATTTTAAATAATATGTTTACTGTATACTAGGGGATGTTTCATAAAATAAATTCACTTTACTTTGATGAAACTACTTTATAAAAGTTTATTTTCTAGTTTTAAAAATAATGCAATCTCATGTTAGAGAATCCAGGAAAAGAATGAAGAAAATTTAAACTACTGTAATTCTATTTCTTAGAGATAATCACTATTAACATTTTGGAGTGTGTTTTTTCCTTTTTCTCTATTCCACTATATATCTTTCCACATCTCTGTCTTTGACCTTATGTGGTTGGCATTGTGTTATAGTATGTATTTTCATATCTTGCTTTTTAAAACAATAATGTTATATTGTAACATCTCCAAATTTGTTCACACGGCAGCACCCTTAGTGACTGCATCTTTTTGTGATTGTACCGTAACAAATCTGCAATTTTCAGATATTGAGGTTGTTTGCACTTTGTCCATATGCTGTATAATGCTGGGATAAACTTCTTTCCTGGTTAATGACCTCGAAATTCCTTTTGCAGCCACTTAAAAACAGATTTTTTTAAAGTTGTTATATTCAAGGATATATGTTGTAGCATTTGGGGGAGCTTAGAATGGGGCAATATACTCTCTGAATGGAATAAGCTGCAGAACTAAACTAAACTAAACAGAATAAAGTCACCACTCTAGACCATCTACTAGCAGAAGAAAATACCATCCTCTTAGGAAGAAGAAAGCCCAGTTTATCAGGACTGTAATGCTCCAGCATATGACGAGTAACGAAGCTCTTGTAAGTTGCTGACATGGAATCATTGTTGGCCATTGATACCAGGTTGATGATTAATCAAATCACCATCATTCAGCATTACTGCCAGATCGCTGGGCAGGCGGTGGTTAGCTAGACTGAGTGCTACATCAGCTCTGGATGGAGAGGAGGAGGCTGTTATGTCTATGCCAGCTGTATTCCATTAAAGTAATCAAAGACTCTTCCTCTCACCACCTCTTCCCCTGAGAAGTTTCATCAAAGGTCTCTAAATGCTTCATATGGAAGATACTTTGCCAAAAGAAGATTTAGAAGCGATAGCTTATATGTATCTTAGACTCCCTAACTAAGTCTATGGAATTTGCCTGGTTTGGCCAGAAAAGCTACTTTAGAAAATTAACAGAAATTTGCAGTTGATTCCTGGCAATTTCATCATGAAGACCACTTACAAGGCCTAAGCTCTTCTGCTTCTTGCTTGTGTCAACTCCTTGGAGTCATAGAGACTCAAGCTCCAAGGACCTCAAGACTGCATGTGGTCCGGTCTCCTGTTTGTAAGCAAGTAAGATATTATCTTCCTTTTTTTTTTTTTTTTTTGAAATTGATGAGGCCCAAAGAAATTAAGTGACTTGTCCAGTCTCACACATGTGGTTAGTGATGGAGCGGGCCATAGACCCAAGTTTCCTGCTACATCATTTGTTTGCTTCAAAGCATAGTTGAGATATTGAATTAAATCTATTTAGTGCTGATTAAATCCTTAATTATCTTAGAGGTTTCATCTTTCACTTTGTTCCCTTATGGCAGCTAAAATCTGCTGCACTGTTTCTTCTGAAGGGTCCCAGGTTTGAAATCTGAGAACCAGATGAGGACCACTGAAGAAGGGTGGAATTTTCCCTTCACTTACAACTTCATTTTTTTCCTGCTAAACTGTGGTCCTTTATTTACAAACCTTGAAGTAATGGTAAAAACGTGATGGAAGTGTAGTGGTAATTATCCTCAAACCTGAAGCACGCTGATTTCCTCTGGATTTGCCACTTTTTAAGATGCATTTACCTTTTGCTTTCAGAGACTACGTGTACTGTCTTTAGTTTATATATTTGGTTTGTGTTTGTCCAGACTGCCAGTGCTGGAATTTTCCCAAATACCAGTCCAAGCTCCTCACTTTGCATATGTGGAAATTGAGCTTAGGAGGTGTTTAAGTGGCGGGGTTGGCTGGTGGCAGAAAGACAGCAAAGCCCGGATCTCTCCATTGGTAGCCCCACTCTCAGGGCAGGCACTGTTCTCTTCACTCACTGAGTCCCAGAGATAGTTAACAAAATGCTTTTGGTGACTACAGTTTATAGATTCCTCTTAACTTCACGTAAAATCTTTTTTATTTTAAAGATTTCATTTATTTATTTTTAGAGAGAGGGGGAGGGAGAAAGGGAGAGAGAGACATCAATGTGCAAGAGAAACATTTATCAGTTGCCTCTTGCATCCAGGCATGTGCCCTGACCAGGAATTGAACCGGGGACCTTTAAGTTTGTGGAATGACGCCCAACCCACCGAGCCAGACCAGTCAGGGCAAAAATCTTTCTTTTGATCTTTTTATTATATTTTGATTTGACCATCAAGTCGAAAATGGATGCTTTCTATGAAAATGATATAAACCAAATAAGTGTTTTTTAAACTTTTGCCCCTCCATTATTACAAAATTATGCACAAACTGTGGAGCACAGGTGGTGTGCTCAGTCTGTTGGGCATCATCCCCAAAATCAAAAGTCACAGGTTTGATTTCCGGTCAGGGAACATGCTATTTCTCTCTTACACAGATGTTTCTCTCCCTCTCTTTCTACCTCCCTTCCCTTCTCTAAAATCAAAAATAAAAATGTAAAAAAGCCCTCCAAAATATATTTAAAAAAGGAAAATGTGGAATTTATAAGAAAGCAGAAAAAAATGAAAATACCCACTCCAGATTACATAGAAATAATGAACTATTACTAACTTTTAGGTTTATAAATGTTTAATCTTTTCATAATCATCTCTATACATATTAAACTTAAAATAAGGTCCCCTAAAACCATCTGTATAAAAGTTATCTTAAAAGAGGAGTCCTTCCTAAAGCTTTCAAAGATGGTTGCAGTAACGCAAAGAGCAAAGGGCTATCTCCTTAGAGATACTTGCCTACCACTGCAGTGATATTAAGAAAGGAATGGGCCAAGGATCTAGATCGCAGTTGTGAACATCCAAGTATGGCATCCAAATCAGTTTGATTTTTCTACATAAATCCATTTTCTCCTCATTTTAGACAATTTGAAAAATTAGAAGGAAAAAGAACACTTTCACCACTAAGTCAACCATTGCTAACTCTTAAAATCTTTCTTTTCATATCTTTAGCTAACTTGTGATCATACTGCATATGCAAATTTGCATCTTGATTTATAACAATATAACATTTATTTGCTCATGTTATGGCTTACTTTTATTATAATAATTTTTACAACTATATCTTTTTTAAAAAAATATTTTATTTATGTACTTTTTTAGAGAGAGGAGAAAGAGAGGGAGAGAACTATGGATCAGGCTGGTGCTCAATCCACTGAGCCACACCAGCCAGGGCTATAACTATATCTCATATATGAGGGCTGTTAAACTCATTTTCACCAGGGACCACATCAGCCTCGTGGTTGCCTTCAAAGGGCCGAATGTAATTTCAACTTCTTTTATTTTGGCCCCTTGAGGGCAACTGCGAGGTTGATGCGGCCCCTGGTGAAAATGAGTTTGACACCCCTGTCTTACATAATTATGTAATTGTACTATAATTTATTTAACTATAACCTATTTATGAATTTTGTATTTTATATTATCTGAATTACACTGCGATGAATATTTCAGTACACAAAGCTTTCTCTCTTTTGGGGCTTATTTCCTGGTGATGCATTTCCAGAAGAATTGTTATGTGTCAAAAGTGTTATAAGTATTTCTAGTTTTTGATGCATTCTCAAGGAGGTGCTTTATATTTGTATTACTTGTCAAAACCATTTTCGGCATCAAAAAGTGGCACACTGATCTGAAAAACGGGACAACTATATTTATGCAGTATTGGGCAGAATATTTGAAATTGGAACTATTGAGAGAAATCCATTTATTTTGGTTGCCAAATTCATACATAATATGTTATGGTTGCATTTCAAAGGAAAGTTTCTAAAGGATTTAGGAGACATTAAGTTTATGAATTCAGGTAAAGGTCAGAAAGAATTGTTGATAATGTGACTTGATAAAATATCCTTTAAAAAGTAATTTTAAAAGCTAATCATAGTACTATCAAATCTCTTTTTAAATGATATTTCTCTGTGTGCGTGTGGGAAAACTTTATAACCTATAGCTCCTTATCAGTTTCATTTTCTCTCAAGTCTTGGTTTCATTTTGCTTGGTTCAAAACATTTTAGCAGATTCTGCCATCAAAGCATGGACTTCCTAATAATGGGCAGCAAAAATGAAAGTGAAAAACAACCAGCTAAGATGACTGTTGTGTGTTTTACGTAGCATTGAGTGGCTCTGACTCCTGCAGACACTATAAATGAGTGATGGCCACAAGGTCCTGTTCTCACCAGCCCTGCTCAGCAACTGCAGGCTCACGCCTGTGGCTTCTTTGATGGAGTCAGTCCATCTTGTGTTTGGTCCTCCTCTTTTCCTGCTGCCTTCTAGTCTCCCTGCCTTCTCATGATTTGTCCAAAGTAGGAAAGCTTCGGTTTTGTTATTTTTGCCTCCAGCGGTGTTTCAGGTTTCATTTGCTCCAGGACCCATGTGTTCATCCTGCTGGCGGCCCAGGGCACCCACGGAGCTCTCCTCCAACACCACATTCCAAAGGAATCCATTTTTTCCTATCAGCCTTCTTCACTGTCCGACTTTGGCACTTGTACACGTTAATTGGGAGTACGAGGTGGTAGGTGATGTAAGATCAGTAATCTATATTTCTGAAACAGATGTCCGGGAAGAAGAGGGATGAAGACAGTGGAACAAGCACTTCATTGAGTAAAGGTGAGAGCCAGTGCATATTTAGTATTGGACTATGATGGGGGAACTGTGCGCTGAGTGTGGAAAGTGAAAAGCAGAGGCGAACAGCCAAGAGTGTTACGGAGCCTCCCCAGGCCCATGGTGGCCCGTTGGATGAGCTCTGCCCTAGTGCAGGCTAGCTGAGCTGCTTTAGCAGGGGCTATGCATTACTGGTAGGCAAAGCTCAAGTTCTCTCTTTATACCTTAGCGTTTTCCCTCCATACAGCTTCCCTTTCCCATACCTTTATGGTTAGAGTTACTGTAGAGTTAGAGACAGAAATGACATCTTTCTCAGTAACCTATAAGCAGTGGCATGCTAGAAAATGTTTAACACCTGGCTCTCCAAAGTGTGTAAGTGTGTATACATTTAAAATGTTTTTACTGGCTTAAAAAATGTATATCACACCATTACAAATAATAAAATATATAATACTTTTCATGAGATCACTGATTCTCACAAAATACTTTCCTTGACTTTGACCTTTGTATCCCTATCCCATCTATGTCTGCAACTGATGAACAAGTATAGTTCCATTGTGAATGTTACCTTCCCTTAAATTAAAGAATAATACGAAAGAAACAGGAAGATACATGTTGGAACTTAACTTGGTTGTTGGTGATGTGAGTGACTTCTCTGCAAACTGGATAATAGTTTTAGAATACTCTGGGAAAATATTTCTGCATTTTGGGGTGCCATTCACAGTGTAGTGGCTACAGGCATAATATTTTTAAATGTCATCAATGGTAGGACCAAGTCGCCATCACTTTACACCTAGGCAATCAACAAGACCATAAACCAACACCTGCCTTGTAGTGCCTGTTGATTTCTCTCCCACCCAAGCTGGTTTCAAATCACCAGCATGACGTCACTGCGCACAGAGGTGGGAAGAGACGCATAGTTGAATAGCATTATATGGTTTTTCCACTGTCCAGAGACAGCAGACAAATAGCGTCGAGAGCACATGTGTCATAATAAACTGTAATAAAATAATTAAGGAGTAATGTTTTGAGTATTATGTTCATTTGTAATACATTGATTTAGTGATAAATTTGGAGAGTTTAATTTCTACTCATGGCTGTGTTAAACAACTATCTCACAAAATTCCTGAAAGCTTAACTATCGGGTTCTTGTGAGCTGGCTGAGGCAGGCCAACTCCAGCACAGCACTGTATAAAGAAAAGGTTCTTACTCGTTTCCTGCCACCCACATCACATTCATGTACACACTCGAATCATTAAGTCTTCAAGGCAAAGGAGAAGTTGGTCCTTCTCTGGAAAAGTTCAGAGACTTTTCCCTTGATCTTATATCAGGGTTCATGGAATTCAAAAGTAATATGTCAGGCATCTGTTTGGTAATGGGGAGATTTGGTATGGTACTGGAAAATGCAGTCAGCTGCCAACAATTGCAGAAAAGTAGTGGTTTGGCAAGTGGCAACTAAGAGCGAGCCCACACATGCTATAGGTTTCTTAAGTAATGTGAAATTACAATCACCAATAATGTGCCTAACTTGTTGATTTCTTTCATTGATCGTTAGCAAGCAAAGATACTTCCTATAATTGGCAAAACAAAGGTGGTTGCTGGGACTCTTCACAGATGATGAAAAAACTGAAGCAGAGCCAACTTACTCCTGGAACCGACTCAGAAGTGGCTCTGGTCAATGACTGTCTTGAAGGAAGAAGATGTAGGCACCATTCTCAGCTCAGCCAGGGGAATCAGACCCAACTCGACAGTGATACCACTGACTGTGACAGCGAAGAATCTGACTTGGGAGCATCCTCCTGGAAAGAGAGTGAAAGTGAACACCCACCACCAGCCGGTACAAAGAGAAAAATAGCTCAGAGGCAACCGAGTGTGGGAAGTGACCGAATCCGGGAAAGGCCCTGCCTTTACTGCAAAGCCAGGAGAACCCATGAATGGTTGGCCCGCCATTTCCTTCAGAACACTTCAATAACAGCCCCGACGAAGGGGGATGTTCGAGAGGAAAACTCGGTACCTGACATTAACGCAAAATTCAGTAAATTTTGAATTTTATCAAGTCCTTGCCTTATTTGAAGCCAAATGAAAGGGATAAATAAAACATGAAAAATCACCAAAGCTTTAGGTGAGGAGGCTTTTTACAATAAACTCTGTTAACAAAAACCAAAAATACTTGGAACCCAAGAGGTCAAATTTCAAATAATTCTTTGTTCAAAAACAGGCTAGTAGTGAATTCATTTATAAGCACCATTGAAACATCAACAATCCGTATCCATTATGATTTTTTATTCAGAAGAGCACAAGGTATTTTCTCCCTTGAGTATATGTGTTTTGTTTATGTCTATAATACCAATAAGGAAGCTCTTTAAAAATATGTTTGGAAACCATTCACACTTATTCATATGCTTTGATGACCTGACTGAATGAATTAGGTGAAGCGGGTTAGAGTAGAATTGGCCCATATTCTCCAGGCCCCTATTTCCAGGCGACCGACTCCACCTAAACGGCACTGCTGCTCCTGTGTCAGCCAGAGGCTGGTGAGCAGGAGCAGCTCAAGAACCTGGGATTTCCAGAGTGGACCGAGGAGGGAAAGGCAGACCTAGAGGGGCAGCTAAGCCATGGGCTGTCCATGGTTATTGTCCAAAGGACCTGGTGAATGCTAAAGAAAAAATTATTCTGACACTTGTTAAAATGGTAAGGAAGACTTCATTCAAGCCTGTTGTAGTAGGGGTCAAATCTGTTGCAATCGCCAGGAGAGATCAACCTCAACTCCAAATACAGCAAGGACAAGCAGTGATTTATAGCCAAGGAGCAGGGTAAGGGGGTTAGTGGATGGAAAATTACTAGGAGGAAACATCAAGGCTAGGGAGATTCCTGTTAAACTGACCTAATAGGAATCTTGGTAAGGGCAGGCCAAGGACTTATCCATCAAGATGGAGGATGAGGAACTTGAGCAGATAGATGTCAAGGGTGATCAGCTCTGCAGGCTTGGGGGTGAGGCGGGCTCTGACTAAACTTACTTAGCAATATTCCTGCTGAAACTCCACCTGGCAGGTCAACGATGTGATGAACACCAGAGCTGACATCTGATCAAGAGGAGGGCTCAGAGGAGCCTGGCTTAAAGTTTGGACTTTGTCGCTCGTTAGCTGGAATTCAGATGTAGTTGGGACAGGGTTTTCCATTTAAGTGGGGACCCCAGCACTGGGGAATTGAGTAGGCCTAGGCAGCAGGTGGCCATTCTGGAGATCATTTTTTAGATAATGGCAGAACCCCAGCTGGGATATAAAATGAAATCCAGACCCCAGAGAAGAGGACTGGTCCAGATAAGATAAGCAGCAGAGACTCTGGTCACTGAGCTAAAGTTCAAAGAAAGGCTTTAGGTCTTAGGGGAGGCCTTTAGGTACTTAAGTACTACATATGGTAAAGATTGCCACATGATACTGAGGACTGAGCCTTTTACGGCGAGAGATCACAGAGCTCTGACACTGGTCTCGTGAGTCACTCTGATAATAGCAGCTTCCTTAACTGATTACAACAAAGGGACCAGGAGGGCACTGTGGGAGCCCCAACCACTGGCACTAGGCCACGAGAGTCTAGGACATGAGGACTGTTTCTGAGCTTATTTGCAGAGACTGTCTTACTCGGATTGCCTTGGGACTGACACAGGTCTGAGGCTGTGAGTGAAAGGCAGGACAACTTCAAGATTCAGCTCAAGCATCAACCTGTTCCATGTGGACTTCTTTTGCTTTTCAACACCCCCCTCCACTGTGTTCCCAAAGGCAAACTCACTAGGCCCTCCCAAATGCTCCAGGGTACCTTGAAAAGTCCTCCATCTCAGCATCCTGAACATTTTAATGAATGTGTTATATGTGTGTGTGTGTGTAAAAGTAGGTTTACAGTTCTTATGGAAAAAAAAATGCAGGTTATAATTATTGCAATAGCTTTGTTAACTCTGTTTTGTGTACTTACAACTGTAAACCTACTTTTGCCCACACCTGAATGTGTGTGTGTATATATATATATATATATATATATTCCATGATTTGTCACCTTTGTGGCTTTGTGACCCAGCACAGTGCCAGACGACATGACAGACAGACCTTGCAACATGACAAATGTTGCAATTATTAAATTGCAATATTTAATAATGCAATTAAATCAATATACAAAGGAATACATGAATTCAAAAGGGAGGAGCTGGTGAAAGCTAAGAGAGAAAGCAGGGCAGGGGCCAATATCTACCACTTAATGAATAATCATGATATTTCCAACTTTATATGATCAAGATCTTGTTTATCTGAATAGTAGCAAAACAAAAAACAAACACACACAAGTTCAAAATACACTAGGAAGTTGCAGAGGCAGGATTTAGACCCAAGTCTTCTGGCTTCAGAGTTTTGGCTCTTAATTACTATGATTTTACCCATTATTCTCTGAAGATGGAAGATCCTGATTTTCGGGGAAGTTAATCACTACCTCCTATACAGCTGTAAGTGATGTTTCAACAGATACAATCTCACCAGGAAAGAATGACTATTTTCTAGATAACAGAGTAAGGACACAAGCCCCAAATGTTTTGCTTGTGGATTTAGAATTTAAACCAATGACATTATTTTCTGAAGCGTCATTTATATCAAAGACTTATTGTTCATGGTCTTATCCATGGGGCTAGGACAGATTAGAGTTAGGGGGTGGAAGATAGCTGCTGATAGGAAGAAGGAATTAGGGTTGAGTTAAACCAGGGGCTGTAAATATGAGGGGATTAACTGGGATAATCTGTGAGTACATTAAACCAAAAACAGAGGGCAAACAAAGCTGGGAAGACATTCAAAGCCAAGGAAAGAAATGCACTGGATCAAAGGAATAAGACAAGGACTGGTGGGATGAGAAGCAGAAGCAGAGCCGGGCCTGTTGGAATAGGATTAGTGAGCAAGGCACAGAGCTGGTGAGGTGGGACAGTTCAGGAAGCCAGAGCTGCAAACTCTAGTTGTGCTGGATTTGCTTGTATGCAAAGTCTGGTATGAGCTGTCAGAGTGGGGTCCCTGAGCTTTGAAACAGCCTCCTCTTCAGTCCCTCCTTGGATAAATGGGATAAACTAGGCTGCCTCTGGTCTCGACCTGTATGGGTGGCATGGAATTCTTGGGCTTGCCTTCTATCTGTGGCCTTTCCATGCAGCTAACTGTTCAGAATTGATGTCCAGCCACATCAAGTATTACGGTTCTTGTTAGGAACTGCCATGCAAGGGACTATGGGATGCAGGGAAAGGCCCGACTGAGTTGGATATGGCGGAGAATGAGAGTATACCCATAGTAGGTGTTTGGAGGGGGTTGGAGAGGAGCTGGGAACTCTGGCTACAGGGTGGATGGTCTCCAACTCTGAACCAGTGTCCTCCTAGATGTCTGGGTGGTGTGGTTTTGCTGGGAGGAGAGATGAACTGGTAGGTAAAATCTATATAAGAGCAACAACAATAATACTGATAACAGTAACATTTAGACAGTGCTTGCCATATGCCAGGTACTGAGGTAAGCATTTTATAAGGATTATTTATCCTTTGTGAGCCTGAAGAATGGATATTTTCTCAATTTTAAGGATATCGAAACTGAGCCTTAGGAAATTAAATGATATACCCAAGGTCATACAGCTGGTGAATGTGGGGAAGCCGGGTCTTGTCTGACCACAAAGATTTTGTCTTTACCATGATAATAATACATTATCTATGTTCTCGAAGGAGAGTGAACTCCTTGCTCTTCTTTAGAGTAAGGAGATCTAATCTCTTTTTAGATTAGAATTTGGGAGAACAATACCTACTACCAAATGGAGTCCAAAGTGAACAGAGGCCTGTTAGTGGAAAACAGAGCAAAGAATCAGAAACCACACAGACAAGAGCCGTCGAGTGAAGCGGGAGAGAGTTCACACTGCTGGGTGTGCGGAGGCTGCGCAGCGGGGGACAGCCTTATCTGAGTGGGTGAACCCGCCCAGCTTCTGGGGAGGGCAGGCAGAAAAGTCAGGGTGGTCTTTGGAAAAAAAGGGGGGGGCGATAGAAAATTAGCTGGAAGGGTTGGTGAGTGTAAGAAGGTACTTTGCTCTGATTGTCAAGGTACAAGAGACTAGAGTGACGAGAGCGGTGAGGCTGGTGCCCAAGGATTTGAGAGGAGAACAGGAAGAGGGCACCACTAAGAAAACTGACCGCTGCCCTGGGTGGTGTGGTTCAGTGGATCGAGCTCCAGCCTGCAAATCAAAGTGTTGTCAGTTCGACTCCCAGTCTACGGCACATGCCTGTGCTGCAGGCCAGGTCCCAAGTGGGAGATGTGCCAGAGGCAACCACACATTGATGTTTCTCTCCCTTGCTTTCTCCCACCCTTTCTCCAAAAATAATATTTAAAGAAAAAAGAAGGAAAAAAAACCCCACGACCACAGCCACAGCTCTTGCCCACAGCCTCCCCTTTCTCCCAGAAGGAGTACTGTCTCCCCATGGGTTCTAGAGCAGTGTTTGCAAAACAGTCATCCATTAATAGATTGTGAAATCAACTTAGAAGGTTGCAACTAGCATTTAGTAGAAAATAAGTAGAAAATAACAGAGCATTGCACATAATCAGGGTAAGTACTGTTTTTGTTTTAGTGTGTGTGTGTATACTCAGTTGCAATACGAAATGTGCTTCTTACTATGTAAGATTAAAAAAAGAAAAGAAAAAAGCCAGTGGTCTGGAGCTTTCTTTGTAGATTTTGAGTATTAACCAGCTCTTCCACTGAGTGAAGGCCATTGTCAGTCCATGCATTCCTGATTGTTGTATGCTAGTAATTAGTAAATCTTCAACCACAATATAGGACGGACTGACTGTCTAGATTAGTGAAAAGCCTGAATTAAATTCTACTACTTTAAAAGAACTTAGGGTTTATTATTTCTGAGTAAGTGGAAGCAAGCTAACCAACTGTCACCTGGTACACAGGGGTGGGTTTAGTCTTGGTGAATAGACAAGAGTAATTTGTAATTGACATTTCAAAGAAGCCTTAGAAATAGGCCAGCCTTTGTTTAAATCATAATTACCCTG